TATTCTCCTTAGCTTTTTGAAAGAGCTTTTCTTTTTAATTTAGTTTTTTCCTAATTATCCTAATTTTATGTATATGGGTCTCATATAAACTTTGCTTAGAGACAACAATGACTATATTTCTGATATGACTATATATTGTAGTCATAATTACCTGTGTCCAGGTTCCCTATGATTGTGCCTTCTCCGAATCCTGCTTTCTTCCACAAAGAAGACTTGTGAACAACACCATTTTTCTCAAGGAGCATGAAATTCCATGAATGAGTCGTATGCAGTTTCCTTCCTTTGTTTAAGAACACAGATATTACACCAGGATGCTCTGCATTTTTATATCAATAACTATTAGATGTTTCCTTAGGTTAACCTAAATGTTTTTGAGAAGCGCGTGCATAATTTGAGAGATTGATAATCTCACTTGCGATCTCTGCAGCTTCATTGTCGTCAAGAACCGCAGCGAAGCCATTGATATGTCTCTTGTATGAGTAAAAGATTGCTTCTTCTGCACTTTGATGGCTGCAATTGAGAGTGAGTTAGTTTCTTGCAATGTTATAAAACCAATGCACCGGCAGAAACCATTATCACATTCATGTTTAAGAATTTGGCACATTTTTATGCTAATTTTGGATTAAAATAGTTCATCATTGTTGGAGGGTTAATTTATTTTAACATGTACTGTTATATTTTTGATAAATTATCAAATTTAAAACATATGAAACCCCAGTGAGATAGATTGATTGACTGATCCGGAAGGCTTTCCGGTTTGTTTTTCAATCCGATTTTAAAAATATTGGTTCTAGCCATTTCAAGAAGAGATAAGCTATACCTTCCCAAGAAAGAAGCGAGGAAAGTGCGATGTGAGTGAGCAACGCCATTGAGATGAACAGAAGAGAGGTGAGGAGGATGGGCGTGAGATCCCAAGTACACTATGTAAGACTGTACAAAATCAAACGATTAAACAAGCTTAAAGCAATATTGTGTAAAGCAACATTGTGTAAATAGAAAGAGAGATAAAGAGAAAGAATATGACCTTTTTAAGAGCAAAAACAGGAGATGAACAGAGAGTGAAGAGGAGAAAAAGAAGAAGAGATAGTCTTTGAAGGCACATTTTGTATTGGTTAATGAGTTATTTTCTCATATCACTCTCTCATATACAAAACTTCTCCATGATTCTCTCTCTGTCTATATTTAGCATATGGATCAAATCACGCACAATCTCAACTTACTATCAAAATTTGTTGAGTGATTTTAGGATAACTCCTCTCTTCCTTCAAAATGCTAGTATTTAACTCAAAATGAGTAAGAGGATCTTCTTTATTTTCTTTCCATTTTTATCTCCCCGTTTTTTGGAATTACGTTCGCCAAATATTTTCTTCGATATTTGTAACCAAAACATTTATTTCTGTAGTATGGTCAATATGTACGTGGAAAATTATTATGGAAACAAATCAGGGATCAGTACGTAGCGATATGGATCAAGGTCAATGGGCTGGCTCAAGGCCAAGTTTGGGTTTGAAATTGTATTTTTCAAGGCGTTACTAAAATACGTTTATAATGTTAAGCGACTGGCGTTTCCAATGCAGATAATGTTAAGCGACTGGCGTTTATCCCTAAATGCGTCAAATTAT